TTATGGTGTAAATGACAAAACTTTATGGCATCTTAAGTGAGTACAAAACAGCAGGATACATTAGCACAGGCCGTCAGTGGGCGTTGATGCATGAAGATTCATATTACACCGGTCTATTTTTTTGGTCTGCATCGTAGGGCAAAAACCTTGAATTTTGACTATATTTCACTGGCTAGAAAAAGGTCGAGAAGCATCCCTGCATAGTTTTTTAGGGGTTGTCCCTAAAAATAAAACTATTTTATTGATGGTTTGAGGGTGCAAGGCGTATGCTTAATATGCAGGTGGCCCAGCAGCTTTCGGACGTCAGTCGAGATGTTCGTCTGATCATATCGCGAGTACATCGCATTGTTGCCGAAGTGGAAAAAACATTCAACGATGAGAGAATTATTTTCGACATCGCCGACAAATCTTCGCAAAGTTAGCTCATTCATCTGCTTATTTTCATTAATTAGACATGCCGAAAATGAGCGTACTGATTTTGCACGTTTTTCTTATTAGCAGTCCGAGAGGAAATCGTTTTGTGCGAGGAGAAAGGATGGAGAGCTGGGGCAATGTTTGAGAAGGCGAGACTCTGATTTCCCCTTTTTTTTCTTTTTTTTTTAGATTTGCAAATTTATGTGCTCTGCACATTTCGGCTACTCCTTCTGTTTTCCCATTCAGCTACCGTGTAATTTGATAAAATGTGAAGAGTCCCTCTCTCTGTTTTCTGGACAAACTGAGCAGTATTTAGTTAAGGCTATCTACAATTCCTGGCAGCTCCAAACATATCTGTTTACACGGACGACGATGCTGACGAAGATGCTGGTACGACGAGCTTCGGCGGGAAATCGGATGAATATTGTTGTACTGTGACGCGTAGTGGACAGACTGGAGTCAACAAACAAACTTTATCAGCACGAATACTAGAATACAAGAGATTCGTTGGAAATTAAATGGAAATTAAATCGGGCGCTTGTAGCGACAACCGCTGCGGACAAGGTGCCGATAACTGGATTGCAGCACCACACTGCTGCACTGGACCTCTCGATGCCAAACGTAGAGCACACTGAATACTCACGATCCTGAGTACTGAAGACACGGGGCGGTGACGTAGAGCACTGGGGAATACACGACGATACACGGAAGACGCCCTCGATGATGATACTGAACATACACTCTGAATCTTACAACAACTTCACAAGCATAAATACTCATCACAAATGGTGGGACAGATCACGGGTCAAACTGCTGCGTGTTTCTGGATTGCTCCTTGCTTCTCCTGCGCGCCATCTTTTGCTCGTTCTAAATATCGAGAAAAACTGTGCAGCATTTTGCTCAACTATGCTTGTTTGGTGACCTGTACTGTCAGTAATAATGCATTAAATTGCAACCTCAAATTTGAACTCAGACAGCACGCTGTCTCTGTGGTTTTAAAATCAGTTGACGGGATGAATTTGTTCTTTCGAGCGGCCTATTTTAAAATTTTATGTCCAAATAAGGGAAAGACGCTTTTTAATTTCAAAGCTTGTGCAGTCTGATAAATTTCATGTGTATTGCGAGGCCATCTATTAAAAAAATACATGCGATGGGGACCGAGCACACTGTGATCCTAGTTTAAACTTGTATTTTTTGATGCCTTATTTTTCAGACTTATATTTTATGAAATTCTATTTTCAAACTTATGTTTTTTTTAAAAAAATTTATATTTTTTTGAAATTCTGTTCAGCCGAAGAAACGGATGCAACCGATGGATCACCACTAGCTTCTGGTAGTGCAAGCAGAAATTCTTCAACGGAACCATTAGGAGGTGTTGAAGTGGAACAACCGGAGGATTATGAGTTTATTGAGGAAAGTCCGGTCACAAGCATGAAGCCGGAACGCCAAGGCAATGGGATTTTGCATAAAAATTGGCAAATTCGCCGAGTGGAACCCGGAAAGTGGGAAAATATCATTGTATGCTGTTTTTAATTCTTTTTTTTTTCTGATGCATATATATTTTCCATAAAGTGCCGCAACTTGGGTGAATGTTTAAATTCTAATGAGGAACAGTTTTAGCGTAAAGATATGCAAATATTCACTTTTTATGCGTTTTGACCTATTTTCTATAGCTGTTTTTCATATTTCTAGGTAGTTATTGCATCGATCACAGGCCCAATTGAGCTGCACACTTCGTCAGTTGCGCATTCTCACTGCGACAGTCAGCAGGAAGAAGTTACAATAAGCGTTTGGATGAAAAGTCCGATGCCAACCAAAAATGCTTGTGCATCGTGGCATATTTTCGAAGTAACCAAAGATGGTCAGCGCAAATTACTCAAAGGACCCGAGATGGTTCTTGAAGTTGG